TCCGAAAGGGGCGCGAGTTGGAATCTCGCAGCTGTTATGATGCACACAAGATCATTTATTGATCTGGAATATCGATACTGGCGAACTTTGTGAGGGTAGTGCTCCATGCTACAGCGTGAGTCGCATTTGTACTATGCTGATCAGAAAGAATAGTTCTTGGTGTCGCTGTTGGAAAGTCCATCGAATGCATGAGAACTCTGGGCCCGCATTGCTGACTCAACGAGCCAGGCTACAAGTACGAAGACCTGTTTCCACCCAAACAGAGAGTCTGTACTACAGACTCTGTAGAGCACACGTAAATACTAAGACCTACGGTCTCGTGGCCTAATGGATAAGGCGCTGGTCTTCGGAACCAAAGATTGTGGGTTCGAGTCCCACCAAGATCGAACCTGGTCTTACCGCTCTCGCCTCGTAATAGTCAGGAAGCTCACGGTCACGAATTCTTGCTGAACCTTGCTGCGAGATGAAACTTGCAATATGACAGGGCTGAGCCGAGAATCGAACTCGGGACCTAGTGCACCCGAAGCACGAATCATACCACTAGACCACACAGCCACATCGCCCGAGCGCAAGTACGGCTTGCTGCATGTGAGGCCCTTGCCTTCTCGCTACAACATCCTCTTCCTCACCGTGGCAAGGTGAGGACTTCGGGACAGCGCCTCGTGCATCCATGAGCCACAAGCTGGCGACTCGTTTTGTGTTCATGAGTCATGAATCATGACCGCCGTGTTGGCATTTGCGTGTGTGAGAACACACCGCCTTCCAAATACAAGTCACTACCCGGATTTCAACCGGGGTTGTCACGGTCTCAATGTGACGTCCTAACCACTAGACGATAGCGACACGAAAAATCGCTTCGATGATGCACATGCGATCTGATACCGCTCGTTCGTTCTCGCAGGCAGGTCCAATTTGTAGGGCCTTCCTGTCGCGTGTGCGCTGCAGCCTCCCTCGGAGAGTTCTCCTGGCCTTTTACCGCTGCACGCAACCCAGCGTGTATCTGTAGGGTTTCTGAGTTTGTGAACCGAGAGTGGGCCCCTCCCACTTCCAAGAGTCAACAAAAGAGGAATCGTGCTCACTCAAGTTGAGTGACTCAGCGTTGCATTGGAGAGGAACGCCGGGCACAGTCGCACCGGACCTTGAGTTATTGGAATATTTCGAGCTCACAGTTGCATCGTATTCGAGTCGTAAGCTATTCTTGAAGTACCTGTTTGCCGCGTCCATGTCTCGGATCCTTCCTTTCGTCTGCGACGGAGTGACTCAGAGCCGAGATGCAGCCATCGATTCGTCGTATCTCTTCAAACACTCTACACGGCATAAAAGCTATCTATTAGAAGAATCGGGAGACAGTTTGGCCGAGTGGTCGAAGGCGCTAGCTTAGGCGCTAGTCCGAAAGGGCGCGAGTTGGAATCTCGCAACTGTTATGATGCACACAAGATCATTTATTGATCTGGAATATCGATACTGGCGAACTTTGTGAGGGTAGTGCTCCATGCTACAGCGTGAGTCGCATTTGTACTATGCTGATCAGAAAGAATAGTTCTTGGTGTCGCTGTTGAAAAGTCCATCGAATGCATGAGAACTCTGGGCCCGCATTGCTGACTCAACGAGCCAGGCTACAAGTACGAAGACCTGTTTCCACCCAAACAGAGAGTCTGTACTACAGACTCTGTGGAGCACACGCAAATACTAAGAACTACGGTCTCGTGGCCTAATGGATAAGGCGTTGATCTTCGGAACCAAATATTGTGGGTTCGAGTCCCACCGAGATCGAACCTGGTCTTATCGCTCTCGTCCCGTAATAGTCAAGAAGCTCACGGTCACGATCTTGCTGCGAGATGAAACTTGCAATATGACAGGGCTGAGCCGAGAATCGAACTCGGGACCTCGTGCACCCGAAGCACGAATCATACCACTAGACCACACAGCCACATCGCCCGAGCGCAAGTACGGCTTGCTGCAGGTGAGGCCCTTGCCTTCTCGCTACAACATCCTCTTCCTCACCGTGGCAAGGTGAGGACTTCGGGACAGCGCCTCGTGCATCCATGAGCCACAAGCTGGCGACTCGTTTTGTGTTCATGAGTCATGAATCATGACCGCCATGTTGGCATTTGCGTGTGTGAGAACACACCGCCTTCCAAATACAAGTCACTACCCGGGTTTCAACCGGGGTTGTCACGGTCTCAATGTGACGTCCTAACCACTAGACGATAGCGACACGAAAAATCGCTTCGATGATGCACATGCGATCTGATACCGCTCGTTCGTTCTCGCAGGCAGGTCCAATTTGTAGGGCCATCCTGTCGCGTGTGCGCTGCAGCCTCCCTCGGAGAGTTCTCCTGGCCTTTTACCGCTGCACGCAACCCAGCGTGTATCTGTAGGGTTTCTGAGTTTGTGAACCGAGAGTGGGCCCCTCCCACTTCCAAGAGTCAACAAAAGAGGAATCGTGCTCACTCAAGTTGAGTGACTCAGCGTTGCATTGGAGAGAAACGCCGGGCACAGTCGCACCGGACCTTGAGTTATTGGAATATTTCGAGCTCACAGTTGCATCGTATTCGAGTCGTAAGCTATTCTTGAAGTACCTGTTTGCCGCGTCCATGTCTCGGATCCTTCCTTTCGTCTGCGACGGAGTGACTCAGAGCCGAGATGCAGCCATCGATTCGTCGTATCTCTTCAAACACTCTACACGGCATAAAAGCTATCTATTAGAAGAATCGGGAGACAGTTTGGCCGAGTGGTCGAAGGCGCTAGCTTAGGCGCGAGTCCGAAAGGGCGCGAGTTGGAATCTCGCAACTGTTATGATGCACACAAGATCATTTATTGATCTGGAATATCGATACTGGCGAACTTTGTGAGGGTAGTGCTCCATGCTACAGCGTGAGTCGCATTTGTACTATGCTGATCAGAAAGAATAGTTCTTGGTGTCGCTGTTGAAAAGTCCATCGAATGCATGAGAACTCTGGGCCCGCATTGCTGACTCAACGAGCCAGGCTACAAGTACGAAGACCTGTTTCCACCCAAACAGAGAGTCTGTACTACAGACTCTGTAGAGCACACGCAAATACTAAGAACTACGGTCTCGTGGCCTAATGGATAAGGCGTTGATCTTCGGAACCAAAGATTTGGGTTCGAGTCCCACCGAGATCGAACCTGGTCTTATCGCTCTCGTCCCGTAATAGTCAAGAAGCTCACGGTCACGATCTTGCTGCGAGATGAAACTTGCAATAGGATAGGGCTGAGCCGAGAATCGAAATCGGGACCTCGTGCACCCGAAGCACGAATCATACCACTAGACCACACAGCCACATCACCCTAGTGCAAGTACGGCTTGCTGCAGGTAAGACTCTTGCCTCCTCGCTACACCACCCTCTTCCTCACCGTGGCAAGCTGAGGATTTCGGGACAGCGCCTCGTGCATCTATGAGCCACAAGCTGGCGACTCGTTTTGTGTTCATGAGTCATGAATCATGACCGCCATGTTGGCATTTGCGTGTGTGAAAACACACCGCCTTCCAAATACAAGTCACTACCCGGATTTGAACCGGGGTTGTCACGGCCACAACGTGACGTCCTAACCACTAGACGATAGCGACACAAAAAATCGTTTCGATGATGCATACACGATGTGATACCGCTCGTTCGTTCTCGCAGGCAGGTCCAGTTTGTAGGGCCTTCCTGTCGCGTGTGCGCTGCAGCCTCCCTCGCAGAGTTCTCCTGACCTTTTACCGCTGCACGCAACCCAGCGTGTATCTGTAGGGTTTCTGAGTTTGTGAACCGAGAGTGGGCCCCTCCCACTTTCAAGAGTTAACAAAAGAGGAATCGTGCTCGCTCAAGTTGAGTGACTCAGCGTTGCATTGGAGAGAAACGCCGGGCACAGTCGCACCTGACCTTGAGTTATTGGAATATTTCGAGCTCACAGTTGCATCGTATTCGAGTCGTAAGCTATTCTTGAAGTACCTGTTTGCCGCGTCCATGTCTCGGATCCTTCCTTTCGTCTGCGACGGAGTGACTCAGAGCCGAGATGCAGCCATCGATTCGTCGTATCTCTTCAAACACTCTACACGGCATAAAAGCTATCTATTAAAAGAAGTGGGAGACAGTTTGTCCGAGTGGTCGAAGGCGCTAGCTTCAAGCGCTAGTCCGAAAGGGCGCGAGTTCGAATCTCGCAGCTGTTATGATGCACACAAGATCATTTATTGATCTGGAATGTCGATACTGGCGAACTTAGTGAGGGTAGTGCTCCATGCTACAGCGTGAGTCGCATTTGTACTATGCTGATCAGAAAGAATAGTTCTTGGTGTCGCTGTTGAAAAGTCCATCGAATGCATGAGAACTCTGGGCCCGCATTGCTGACTCAACGAGCCAGGCTACAAGTACGAAGACCTGTTTCCACCCAAACAGAGAGTCTGCACTACAGACTCTGTAGAGCACACGCAAATACTAAGAACTACGGTCTCGTGGCCTAATGGATAAGGCGTTGGTCTTCGGAACCAAAGATTGAGGGTTCGAGTCCCACCGAGATCGAGGCTGGTCTTATCGCTCTCGTCCCGTAATAGTCAAGAAGCTCACGGTCACGAATTCTTGCTGAACCTTGCTGCGAGATGAAACTTGCAATAAGACAGGGCTGAGCCGAGAATCGAACTGGGTACCTCGTGCACCCGAAGCACGAATCATACCACTAGACCACACAGCCACATCGCCCTAGCGCAAGTACGGCTTGCTGCAGGTGAGGCCCTTGCCTTCTCGCTACAACATCCTCTTCCTCACCGTGGCAAGGTGAGGACTTCGGGACAGCGCCTCGTGCATCCATGAGCCACAAGCTGGCGACTCGTTTTGTGTTCATGAGTCATGAATCATGACCGCCATGTTGGCATTTGCGTGTGTGAGAACACACTGCCTTCCAAATGCAAGTCACTACCCGGATTTGAACCGGGGTTGTCACGGTCTCAATGTGACGTCCTAACCACTAGACGATAGCGACACGAAAAATCGCTTCGATGATGCACATGCGATCTGATACCGCTCGTTCGTTCTCGCAGGCAGGTCCAATTTGTAGGGCCTTCCTGTCGCGTGTGCGCTGCAGCCTCCCTCGGAGAGTTCTCCTGGCCTTTTACCGCTGCACGCAACCCAGCGTGTATCTGTAGGGTTTCTGAGTTTGTGAACCGAGAGTGGGCCCCTCCCACTTCCAAGAGTCAACAAAAGAGGAATCGTGCTCACTCAAGTTGAGTGACTCAGCGTTGCATTGGAGAGAAACGCCGGGCACAGTCGCACCGGACCTTGAGTTATTGGAATATTTCGAGCTCACAGTTGCATCGTATTCGAGTCGTAAGCTATTCTTGAAGTACCTGTTTGCCGCGTCCATGTCTCGGATCCTTCCTTTCGTCTGCGACGGAGTGACTCAGAGCCGAGATGCAGCCATCGATTCGTCGTATCTCTTCAAACACTCTACACGGCATAAAAGCTATCTATTAGAAGAAACGGGAGACAGTTTGGCCGAGTGGTCGAAGGCGCTAGCTTAGGCGCTAGTCCGAAAGGGCGCGAGTTGGAATCTCGCAACTGTTATGATGCACACAAGATCATTTATTGATCTGGAATATCGATACTGGCGAACTTTGTGAGGGTAGTGCTCCATGCTACAGCGTGAGTCGCATTTGTACTATGCTGATCAGAAAGAATAGTTCTTGGTGTCGCTGTTGGAAAGTCCATCGAATGCATGGGAACTCTGGGCCCGCATTGCCGACTCAACGAGCCAGGCTACAAGTACGAAGACCTGTTTCCACCCAAACAGAGAGTCTGTACTACAGACTCTGTAGAGCACACGCAAATACTAAGAACTACGGTCTCGTGGCCTAATGGATAAGGCGTTGATCTTCGGAACCAAAGATTTGGGTTCGAGTCCCACCGAGATCGAACCTGGTCTTATCGCTCTCGTCCCGTAATAGTCAAGAAGCTCACGGTCACGATCTTGCTGCGAGATGAAACTTGCAATAAGACAGGGCTGAGCCGAGAATCGAACTCGGGACCTCGTGCACCCGAAGCACGAATCATACCACTAGACCACACAGCCACATCGTCCTAGCGCAAGTACGGCTTACTGCAGGTGAGACCCTTGCCTTCTCACTACAACATCCTCTTCCTCACCGTGGCAAGGTGAGGACTTCGGGACAGCGCCTCGTGCATCCATGAGCCACAAGCTGGCGACTCGTTTTGTGTTCATGAGTCATGAATCATGACCGCCATGTTGGCATTTGCGTGTGTGAAAACACACCGCCTTCCAAGTACAAGTCACTCCCCGGATTTGAACCGGGGTTGTCACGGCCACAACGTGACGTCCTAACCACTAGACGATAGCGACACAAAAAATCATTTCGATGATGCATACACGATGTGATACCGCTCGTTCGTTCTCGCAGGCAGGTCCAGTTTGTAGGGCCTTCCTGTCGCGTGTGCGCTGCAGCCTCCCTCGCAGAGTTCTCCTGACCTTTTACCGCTGCACGCAACCCAGCGTGTATCTGTAGGGTTTCTGAGTTTGTGAACCGAGAGTGGGCCCCTCCCACTTTCAAGAGTTAACAAAAGAGGAATCGTGCTCGCTCAAGTTGAGTGACTCAGCGTTGCATTGGAGAGAAACGCCGGGCACAGTCGCACCTGACCTTGAGTTATTGGAATATTTCGAGCTCACAGTTGCATCGTATTCGAGTCGTAAGCTATTCTTGAAGTACCTGTTTGCCGCGTCCATGTCTCGGATCCTTCCTTTCGTCTGCGACGGAGTGACTCAGAGCCGAGATGCAGCCATCGATTCGTCGTATCTCTTCAAACACTCTACACGGCATAAAAGCTATCTATTAGAAGAAGTGGAAGAGAGTTTGGCCGAGTGGTCGAAGGCGCTAGCTTCAGGCGCTAGTCCGAAAGGGCGCGAGTTCGAATCTCGCAGCTGTTATGATGCACACAAGATCATTTATTGATCTGGAATATCGATACTGGCGAACTTTGTGAGGGTAGTGCTCCATGCTACAGCGTGAGTCGCATTTGTACTATGCTGATCAGAAAGAATAGTTCTTGGTGTCGCTGTTGAAAAGTCCATCGAATGCATGAGAACTCTGGGCCCGCATTGCTGACTCAACGAGCCAGGCTACAAGTACGAAGACCTGTTTCCACCCAAACAGAGAGTCTGTACTACAGACTCTGTAGAGCACACGCAAATACTAAGAACTACGGTCTCGTGGCCTAATGGATAAGGCGTTGGTCTTCGGAACCAAATATTGTGGGTTCGAGTCCCAACCAGATCGAACTTGGTCTTATCGGTCTCGTCCCGTATAGTCAAGAAGCTCACGGTCACGAATTCTTGCTGAACCTTGGTGCGAGATGAAACTTGCAATAAGACAGGGCTGAGCCGAGAATCGAACTCGGGACCTCGTGCACCCGAAGCACGAATCATACCACTAGACCACACAGCCACATCGTCCTAGCGCAGTACGGCTTGCTGCAGGTGAGACCCTTGCCTTCTCACTACAACATCCTCTTCCTCACCGTGGCAAGGTGAGGACTTCGGGACAGCGCCTCGTGCATCCATGAGCCACAAGCTGGCGACTCGTTTTGTGTTCATGAGTCATGAATCATGACCGCCATGTTGGCATTTGCGTGTGTGAGAACACACCGCCTTCCAAATACAAGTCACTACCCGGATTTCAACCGGGGTTGTCACGGTCTCAATGTGACGTCCTAACCACTAGACGATAGCGACACGAAAAATCGCTTCGATGATGCACATGCGATCTGATACCGCTCGTTCGTTCTCGCGGGCAGGTCCAATTTGTAGGGCCTTCCTGTCGCGTGTGCGCTGCAGCCTCCCTCGCAGGGTTCTCCTGACCTTTTACCGCTGCACGCAACCCAGCGTGTATCTGTAGGGTTTCTGAGTTTGTGAACCGAGAGTGGGCCCCTCCCACTTCCAAGAGTCAACAAAAGAGGAATCGTGCTCACTCAAGTTGAGTGACTCAGCGTTGCATTGGAGAGAAACGCCGGGCACAGTCGCACCGGACCTTGAGTTATTGGAATATTTCGAGCTCACAGTTGCATCGTATTCGAGTCGTAAGCTATTCTTGAAGTACCTGTTTGCAGCGAACATGTCTCGGATCCTTCCTTCCGTCTGCGACGGAGTGACTCAGAGCCGAGATGCAGCCATCGATTCGTCGTATCTCTTCGAACACTCTACACGGCATAAAAGCTATCTATTAGAAGAATTGGGAGACAGTTTGGCCGAGTGGTCGAAGGCGCTAGCTTAGGCGCTAGTCCGAAAGGGCGCGAGTTCGAATCTCGCAGCTGTTATGATGCACACAAGATCATTTATTGATCTGGAATGTCGATACTGGCGAACTTTGTGAGGGTAGTGCTCCATGCTACAGCGTGAGTCGCATTTGTACTATGCTGATCAGAAAGAATAGTTCTTGGTGTCGCTGTTGAAAAGTCCATCGAATGCATGAGAACTCTGGGCCCGCATTGCTGACTCAACGAGCCAGGCTACAAGTACGAAGACCTGTTTCCACCCAAACAGAGAGTCTGTACTACAGACTCTGTAGAGCACACGCAAATACTAAGAACTACGGTCTCGTGGCCTAATGGATAAGGCGTTGGTCTTCGGAACTAAAGATTGTGGGTTCGAGTCCCACCAAGATCGAACCTGGTCTTATCGCTCTCGTCCCGTAATAGTCAAGAAGCTCACGGTCACGAATTCTTGCTGAACCTTGCTGCGAGATGAAACTTGCAATAAGACAGGGCTGAGCCGAGAATCGAACTCGGGACCTCGTGCACCCGAAGCATGAATCATACCACTAGACCACACAGCCACATCATCCTAGCGCAAGTACGGCTTGCTGCAGGTGAGACCCTTGCCTTCTCACTACAACATCCTCTTCCTCACCGTGGCAAGGTGAGGACTTCGGGACAGCGCCTCGTGCATCCATGAGCCACAAGCTGGCGACTCGTTTTGTGTTCATGAGTCATGAATCATGACCGCCATGTTGGCATTTGCGTGTGTGAAAACACACCGCCTTCCAAGTACAAGTCACTACCCGGATTTGAACCGGGGTTGTCACGGCCACAACGTGACGTCCTAACCACTAGACGATAGCGACACAAAAAATCATTTCGATGATGCATACACGATGTGATACCGCTCGTTCGTTCTCGCAGGCAGGTCCAGTTTGTAGGGCCTTCCTGTCGCGTGTGCGCTGCAGCCTCCCTCGCAGAGTTCTCCTGACCTTTTACCGCTGCACGCAACCCAGCGTGTATCTGTAGGGTTTCTGAGTTTGTGAACCGAGAGTGGGCCCCTCCCACTTTCAAGAGTTAACAAAAGAGGAATCGTGCTCGCTCAAGTTGAGTGACTCAGCGTTGCATTGGAGAGAAACGCCGGGCACAGTCGCACCTGACCTTGAGTTATTGGAATATTTCGAGCTCACAGTTGCATCGTATTCGAGTCGTAAGCTATTCTTGAAGTACCTGTTTGCAGCGAACATGTCTCGGATCCTTCCTTCCGTCTGCGACGGAGTGACTCAGAGCCGAGATGCAGCCATCGATTCGTCGTATCTCTTCGAACACTCTACACGGCATAAAAGCTATCTATTAGAAGAATTGGGAGACAGTTTGGCCGAGTGGTCGAAGGCGCTAGCTTAGGCGCTAGTCCGAAAGGGCGCGAGTTCGAATCTCGCAGCTGTTATGATGCACACAAGATCATTTATTGATCTGGAATGTCGATACTGGCGAACTTTGTGAGGGTAGTGCTCCATGCTACAGCGTGAGTCGCATTTGTACTATGCTGATCAGAAAGAATAGTTCTTGGTGTCGCTGTTGAAAAGTCCATCGAATGCATGAGAACTCTGGGCCCGCATTGCTGACTCAACGAGCCAGGCTACAAGTACGAAGACCTGTTTCCACCCAAACAGAGAGTCTGTACTACAGACTCTGTAGAGCACACGCAAATACTAAGAACTACGGTCTCGTGGCCTAATGGATAAGGCGTTGGTCTTCGGAACCAAAGATTGTGGGTTCGAGTCCCAACCAGATCGAACTTGGTCTTATCGCTCTCGTCCCGTAATAGTCAAGAAGCTCACGGTCACGAATTCTTGCTGAACCTTGCTGCGAGATGAAACTTGCAATAAGACAGGGCTGAGCCGAGAATCGAACTCGGGACCTCGTGCACCCGAAGCACGAATCATACCACTAGACCACACAGCCACATCGTCCTAGCGCAAGTACGGCTTGCTGCAGGTGAGACCCTTGCCTTCTCACTACAACATCCTCTTCCTCACCGTGGCAAGGTGAGGACTTCGGGACAGCGCCTCGTGCATCCATGAGCCACAAGCTGGCGACTCGTTTTGTGTTCATGAGTCATGAATCATGACCGCCATGTTGGCATTTGCGTGTGTGAGAACACACCGCCTTCCAAATACAAGTCACTACCCGGATTTCAACCGGGGTTGTCACGGTCTCAATGTGACGTTCTAACCACTAGACGATAGCGACACGAAAAATCGCTTCGATGATGCACATGCGATCTGATACCGCTCGTTCGTTCTCGCAGGCAGGTCCAATTTGTAGGGCCTTCCTGTCGCGTGTGCGCTGCAGCCTCCCTCGCAGGGTTCTCCTGACCTTTTACCGCTGCACGCAACCCAGCGTGTATCTGTAGGGTTTCTGAGTTTGTGAACCGAGAGTGGGCCCCTCCCACTTCCAAGAGTCAACAAAAGAGGAATCGTGCTCACTCAAGTTGAGTGACTCAGCGTTGCATTGGAGAGAAACGCCGGGCACAGTCGCACCGGACCTTGAGTTATTGGAATATTTCGAGCTCACAGTCGCATCGTATTCGAGTCGTAAGCTATTCTTGAAGTACCTGTTTGCAGCGAACATGTCTCGGATCCTTCCTTCCGTCTGCGACGGAGTGACTCAGAGCCGAGATGCAGCCATCGATTCGTCGTATCTCTTCGAACACTCTACACGGCATAAAAGCTATCTATTAGAAGAATTGGGAGACAGTTTGGCCGAGTGGTAGAAGGCGCTAGCTTAGGCGCTAGTCCGAAAGGGCGCGAGTTCGAATCTCGCAGCTGTTATGATGCACACAAGATCATTTATTGATCTGGAATGTCGATACTGGCGAACTTTGTGAGGGTAGTGCTCCATGCTACAGCGTGAGTCGCATTTATACTATGCTGATCAGAAAGAATAGTTCTTGGTGTCGCTGTTGAAAAGTCCATCGAATGCATGAGAACTCTGGGCCCGCATTGCTGACTCAACGAGCCAGGCTACAAGTACGAAGATCTGTTTCCACCCAAACAGAGAGTCTGTACTACAGACTCTGTAGAGCACACGCAAATGCTATGAACTACGGTCTCGTGGCCTAATGGATAAGGCGTTGGTCTTCGGAACCAAAGATTGTGGGTTCGAGTCCCACCGAGATCGAACCTGGTCTTATCGCTCTCGTCCCGTAATAGTCAAGAAGCTCACGGTCACGAATTCTTGCTGAACCTTGCTGCGAGATGAAACTTGCAATAAGACAGGGCTGGGCCGAGAATCGAACTCGGGACCTCGTGCACCCGAAGCACGAATCATACCACTAGACCACACAGCCACATCGCTCTAGCGCAAGTACGGCTTGCTGCAAGTGAGACCTTTGCCTTCTCGCTACAACATCCTCTTCCTCACCGTGGCAAGGTGAGGACTTCGGGACAGCGCCTCGTGCATCCATGAGCCACAAGCTGGCGACTCGTTTTGTGTTCATGACCGCCACAACGCCTCACAACCGAGAGTGGGCCCCTCCCACTTCCACGAGTCAACAACAAAGGAATTGTGCTCACTCAAGTTGAGTGACTCAACATTGCGGATGCGATGCGCTAGCGACTGGTTATCATGCTTAGCTTCACATCTGTTGGAACTGTTCGTTTCAAATTCCGGGGGAGTAGACTCTGAATGATCTCCGAGTAGCGGCGCAGAGGTTCTGTAATAAAACTGATGCCTTCACTCCGACTAACAAACTCGAGAAATGGTCAGACTACTGGAAAAGAGACATGCTATTTATCGAGCCTCTCGAGAATGCTTGCTAAAGTATTTTCCATCTTCGTCTGTCGCATCTCCAAATACCGCAACTTGCCGATTGTTTCAACATGCATCCTGTTTAATGAGGATACCAGCATTTCGATATCCGCAGTAGAGGAGGCTGCCCCTCCCTCGCCGCCGCTCAACGTTAATTTACGCATACTAATACCGCCCGCGGAAGATTGAGAGCCCCGCCGATCCGCAACGACGAAAGAAGTATCGGTCGGACTCTTATCACCATCATCTTCCTCGCCTTCATCATCTCCGTTGTTACTGCTGTTGTCTACTATAAGCTGTCGCGACGATTCATCGAGAAAGTTAGACGATTGGGCAGCCGATGGCAAGGTCGACTTGAAGGAGTTGTTCGTAGTGTCAGAATTCGTCGGCCTAGCGGGAGCACCAATGCGTTTAAGCATTCCTGCTAGCCTCTGAGTGTGAGGAGTCAACGACTTTGATACACCTTGCTTCCCACGGGGAGTACTTGCCTTCGGCGTATGGGATTCCTACAACAAGACAAGACCATCGTTTCCATGTGCCTGATTATTATCAGCCAGAATTTCATTCAGTGAGGCGAGACCCAATTGATCACAAGACTCACGAGCCCCATGTATGTATCGAGATCCGAAGGACTCCGCGACGGTACCTACTCCCCCCTACCTCCTCATAATCATAATGTCGATAAAACGACACACTCCTCGCCGGGACTTCTTCAAACTTGATGATTGGACTCTTCAATGATCGCAAGTCGTAAATCAGAGCCGCGCTCTCTGACCCGACCGCCATGAAGGCCCCGTCCGTCCGTAAGGATACACTGGTAGGAACAAGGCCCAACTTCAGATCCTTGAGAAGTTTCTTCTGTCTAACGTCAGCAAAGCGAATAACCCTGCTCGGGCCCACCGCTGCGACCAATAAACTCTCATTACACGGTGAGGGAGCAAGTAGACTAGAAGTAGTGCGATGACTCCCATCGCCCTTGACGATCTCTGAGGGTATAACGTGAGTCCATTTCCCGCAAGCATGCACATCACCAACAAAGACGCTGTAATCATCCGTCATCACCGAGAAACTGTTGCCTCCGACTATTTCTGTACAGCGGAGCGATGCAACGCCTCCTCGCTGCTGTGAAGCCGGGCCGCCGCCGCCGACCTTCCAGTCATATCTAGCTCCGTTCATATCAGACGACTTCACCAACTGGACGCTGCCGCTTTGCGTCCCCCACATGATCGCCTCGCAATTCGACGTCCCACTTATTGCCGTAGCAGCATGTATCGATAATGTGCTCATTGGATTATCGGGCGAGCGAGATTTGAATGACGCCACAGGTGCCCACAACCGCACTCCCGCTGTGAGAGAGGACGTCAGCAGCCTCCCGTCGGGCAAGGTAGAAACATCCGAGGTGCCGTATAAGGGCGCGAAGGACTTCGAGGCTATCTGATGAAACGCGCAATGAACGGAGTGGAAGGCGAGGAAACGGAGTGAAATGCCACTGCTGTTGGAGGCGACACCGTCACACCGTTAGCTACGATCCAAGGGCATCGAAAATCTCGCGACGGTTCGCTGCGAAATCTGACTCGGTCAAAGTACCAGACAAGAGCCCAGAGCTTTCACGAGCAAACATCATCCTCAATGCTCCCTCATACTCTACATGACTTTTTCAATGAATGGGAACTCGACTGCTTGGCCAATCGCAAAAGTCATCACTAGCTTACGGAAATACCTCAGAACCGACCTCCGGGACAGGGAGTCACTTAGGGTCGGGAGACTTGCGTCTCGGAGAGAAGCTTAACGGGATTCCATACGCTTACGTCGGCGACTACACTTTGAAAATCTTATTTTCTCCGCCAAAATCATACGCCTAGCTGAGCCTCTGCTCCGCGGCGATACTTTCACCATTACTCTTCACGGCCGGCCCGGAAGAGAATATCCTAGCTGCGCGTACTGCGCAACCCCTGCAACTAGCTTCGGAATCGGGTTCTAAGACCTTTAGTTTCCCCGAGGAAAAATAATCCGCCCAGTGAATGCGCGCATTCCCGATTTGATGTTACCTCCAATCCTCCATTAAGAACCCCTGATGAGACTTGGAAGGCAGAACCTGCCAACACGCCCAATGAGTTGAAAGAATACAGTGACTGTGCATGCACACAAGTCCCATAGCGCTAGCAGTACTGACTGACTGCTCATTTAGTACTGGTTGTATTATGCTCTTTATCAGAACCACATCTATCATTTTCTACCGCTCATCCCAACCCATCCTCGGGAGGATATCCATCAGTAAGGACGTCGAGTGCTGATAGTTCACGCCGGTGAACCCCCACGGTTGCTTTCGGAATGGCGACTATCGTGTACGCAGAAGCAAGCAATGACGTCAACATAGCGCCATACAATCCCCACCAATACCTTCACTGCCGTAAATCAGCGATTCACCAGTGGTCCATGCCAGGTAACACGACCCGAGCGGCTCTGGAGTGTTGGATAACTCCCTTCTATCCGCTGTAAAGTCAAGAGCACGCAAGGCGACCGAGGCAGCCTGAAAGGATCCGACGAGGGGACTTGTCCCGCAGCTCAGTCTGGCGCATCAACGATAGTAGGCATCCAACGGACCAGCACCTGTGAGGTATCAGCCAGCCTCAATGAACCTTCCACCTCCGGATGATACAATGCAATCGTCGACGCTGGTGATGGTGATGGGGGCATTTCCTATCAATCGCTAGCACGCATGAGCATACCCTAACACCGCCGCAGCAACGAGAATCACAGCAGGAGTGACATCATCTTCAATGAGACATATCGTACATGGGAATGGCAGGACACGAGAGTATCTATATTCGCCCGGCTGAGCATTTCACCCAGACTCGAGGGTTGTAATACTTCGCTCGCCCTAACCGAACTCCGTACCTTAAAAAAAAGCCCCGCTGCGTAGAGGAGGAGCAGAGCACTCCGAAGTGCTCCCATTAGCATGAGAAAATTGCACTCCCAACAGC